CAGGTATATTCATAGAATCACAGAATCAGCTGGGTTGGAAGAGACCTCAGACATCATTAAGTCCAGCCCTTAATCCAACCCCGCTGTGGTTCCCAGCCCATGGCACTGATGCCACATCCAGTCTCACCTTAAACACCTCCAGGAATGGAGAATCCACCACTTCCCTGGGCAGCCCATTCCAATGGCTGAGCACCCTCTCTGCAAAGAAATTCTTTCTAATCTCCAACCTAAACCTCCCCTGGCACAGCTGCAGACCCAGCCCTCTTGTCTTGCTGATGGTTGCCTGGGAAAAGAGACCAACCCCCCCTGGCTCCCCCCTCCTGTCAGGCGTTGCCAGAGATGTGAGAGTGAGGAGGTCTCCCCTGAGCCTCTCTTCTCCAGGCTGAGCCCCCCCAGCTCCCTCAGCCTCTCCACACAGCACTTGTGCTCCAGTCCCTTCCCCAGCCTCGTTGCTCTCCTCTGGACCTGCTCCAGCCCCTCCATGTCCTTCCTGAGCTGAGGGCCCAGAGCTGGACACAGCACTCCAGGGGTGGCCTCCCCAGCGCTGAGTACGGGGGAAGAGTCACTTCCTTGGACCTGTTGGCCACCCTGTTCCTGAGCCAGGCCAGGATCCATTGGCCTTCTTGGCCACCTGGGCACACTCTGGCTCACGTTCAGCTTGACTGTGTCCAGTTCTCTGGCCACTGCAGTGGTCAGCAGTGGTTTGCTGTACTCACTTGTGACAAGGCAGCTCCAGAATCTGGAGAAGCAGCTGGGTGGGGCTGGGGCAGCACCAGGCTGAGGAGGGGCTGGGTGGGGCAGTGCTGCAGATTCCATCAGCAGGACAACTGACCCCAGACCACTGACCCCAGAGCAACTCGGGTGCTGTGACACAGCAGGGGAGGAAGATCAGCACACAAAGCTTGGGCAGAATTGTGTTTGGGGGGGAGCCTGCTCAGTGCTGGAGCTCTCTTTTCATCAGAGTTAGAAAATCCCCTCGAATTAGTAACTACTAAGTATGAGTAAGAGCCAGATGTGCTGACTGGCTGGTGAGGATTGGTTTTGTCCCCATTGCATCATCCCCATCTGTGGGGCAGCTGCCCTTTGTATGTGCTTTGCTCCAGCTGAGGTTGGAATTTTTCTATTGAAGGGAAACATACTGCAATTTAGAGACATCTTTTCATTATTAGTGCACTAGTAATGACTTGTGTGCTCAAACTGAAATAATGAAAAAGGAAGCAGAGGATGGGCAACACAACCCCAGTGTTATTTGCAACCTTTAACTGCCAGGGAATGGTGATGCAGAAGGTGGCCTTTTATTATAAATGCTTCTGACTGAATTAGGAAACGTACTGAGAAACCTCAGGTTTTTAATTAATCATTTTAATTTTAATGCACTTCCTAAATGCATTTATTACCTTTTTTTTAGTTGCTTTCTCAGTTGCCTTATTCACCTCAATTACTGAGGAACCAGCTCCAGGCAAACTTCAGAAATATCCTTGTGGCAACTTTTCACGACTGTTTGGCTTTTATTTGCAGATGTCTAAACAGATGCTGCAGAACAGTCTTTTATAGAGTTATATACCTTTACTTACTGTTTCTTTTATAGGGATATATACCTTTACTTACTGTTTGTTTCTAGTACCAGCTACATTTCCTAGATAACACAGTCCTTGTAATATAAAGGCTGATGATGGACTATTGAAATTTTTGTCTGGGTTCTCTCTGGCAACATTTGCATGGTTGTTAAACTGCCTGTTTTTCCACTGCTCTTCTTTAAGAATACTTAATAAGGACCTATTTCATGACTTGGTTTCACCATCAAGTATTGCCAATGCTAAGATGCTTAGTTTCTGTTCCATTAAGTGACCATATTCTGCCTACTCTTGTTAACTGGAAGTCAGGTGACTTTTAAAGATGGTTTGAATAAATCAAGTGGAAATGTGACCCTGCATTACTTTTTTTTCCATACCCCCTACTCTATTTTGTTTGCTGGGGTTTTTTTTTAGGTGATCTGGTACCTTCAAATCCACAGTATTAAAGATAAAGAAGAAGTACAAACTCCTAAGCATGGTTTCCTTTACATTACTGTCATTGATCAAGTTTTTAATGTGTTACCATGTCAAACTTGTCTTTTTCACAGAAAAGCAAGACAAAGAATAATAATTTTGAAAATAGTGATTTAAAAAAAAAAGATTTAAACTTTCTAAACAATTTAAAGTGTCATCCTGTAATAACATGATATTTTACATAAAATACTAAAATTCTATGAATAAAACACTTCCAGCACCATATACTTAATTTATTTTATTTGTCCACTAATGGCTAAAATTTAACTAGCCTGTTTATATTATTTTTTTTTTCATTTGAATACCCTTTCTTTAAATTCCTTTTTAAAAGAAGCATTTATCTTAGATAACTTATCATCAGGTATGTTTGCAAATTACCTACTTAAATATCCATCCAGATGCCCTGAAAGGTAGGTGCTATGTATTTATATAGTGCAGGTGTATAGCTAAATATATATTTATAGGTGCTCTAGCACAAACCACTAACCTATTCAGCAGTAATTCACTTCTGAGTGAAACCACAGCTCACGAGGTGAATACAGGCAAGGAACGCAGAAAGGACTGAACCTGCTTTTATGATTTACATAACACAACTAATATTTAGTGTTGACAGATGGAATAGAGTGCTCAGGACTCGGTAATAAGGAACAAGAGCACAGCAGATAAGAGAACACTGAGTGCAGAGGGCATAACTCTGCAGCAGACACACGGTGTTTAGAAGATGAGCAATAAATAACAAACTAATTATGTTTCGGTACAAACAGTGCCTGAGCAGGAGGAGTGCTTTGAGCCAAGCTGTGGGTACATGTGGCTCATACAGCCCAACTTACATCACACTCCTTCAGTGAGGAATTGAGCCCCCTACCACAGAGCTGTTTAACTCTGATCATCTCTGCATGCACTTGCTGCACCCGTGCAGTCCCACAAACACACACTCCACTCAAAACTGCAGAAAATGAGGTATTTTTGCATTTATTTACACGCAGTTAAAAATCCAGTGGCGTTCGCAGTTTGAAATGTAGATGCTTGTCACCCTTTTTAACAGTTAAAAAATGGAAATTCTAGATTTGTTTTCGTTGGCTAATAGGAATGGAATTTATTACCAAGTGCAAATAGATGAAAATGAAACAGAAAATTTTAGATCAACCCCAAACGTTAAAATGTTATTCTGCAAAATAATACAATTGTTTTACCCCTTTATCTCTTCTCAGAATACTTTAGAAAGTATTTCACCTGATTGGAAAATTACTTTTTTATTTATTTATTTATTTTATTGGGCATAAGTCTGTTTGGAGACATTGAAACATAGCTAAAAGGCTGCAAAGAAACTGGCTGTGTAAATTCTTGCATTAGGGTCACAGTGGTACCCCTTGCTTTGGTGCCTGAAAATAAGTGAGGACTCACTGTGTGAAACAGTTGGTTGTAAGCCAGAAGGTTCTTTTGGATTTGTATATATTTCCTGTGCTCTCTATGTACTTCATGTGACACACATTGATGAAAGGATGGAAGAGACTGTATAACTACTGTATTCTTGAGAAATCTCTATTTCTCATATCTTTGCCTTGCTTGCTACAGAAAAGTTCATTTCCAAACAGCTATCCCTGTGTTGCCTTTAAGACCAACAGATAGGGTGATGCTTTATCCAGGTGATAGTACAATTTGTGTGCTAAAGTAATTAAAACCAGACAGAAATCATTTTTAAAACAAATAAATCTTACATCTGGCCCCCTGTACTTCCCTCTGTGGGAGGAATTAAACAATGATGTATTCATGGGGGAATAGAGAGATTTAATGGAGCTATCTGCCAATGCAGTCCCTTTTCACATTGCTGCCATTTCTCCACAGCAATTTCAGGGCTCCTCCAACTGTGATTTTTCTGGGTGCCCTTTTAAAAGCTTTTAACCCAGATAACTAGAATAACCCATTGGCCCTTAGGTTTTTGTATTAAAACATACGAGAATGGGGGCTGTGCTGTTTAAAGCAAGTAAGTAAGGAGAAAAGAAAATGAAAAGAAAAAAAATGCAAAAAATTCACACTGTGAATCTCGTAGAATTCTTTCTTTTGTTGTTGAAATTTTGGTTTTGCTCAACAGTTTTAAATAGTTGCTTGATTTCCAGGCTTCAAAATCACAGAGAATAGTCTGTAAGATTTCTTGCATTTTCTGTGTGGGAAATAATTACTTGCATATCCACCATTTCCAGTGACCTCATATTTGTGGGTTGTCAGCATCTCTCCTAAGGACTGGATGACTTTATGTCCAAATTTTTTGAGTCTCCTCCAGTCTGAAGTGTATTGAGTTTTTTTAATGTGCATATGTGTGACTAAGTAGGGTGTCTGTTGACATGTGTGAATGTGATATTTAACGAATTTCCATTAAACTCAGCAGGATTTAGCAGTTCTGGAAACAAATTACAAATGTTCATGCAGAGCACTCAAAAATTCGGATACCCCAAGAATACGAGCTACCGAGTGTTGGTGAAGTTATAAAGTTTCAGAGTTGCCAAAAACAAGAAATATTAGAAATGTTGTAAAGGATGAGGGGATTGAAGCGACCTTATCCCTTTCTACGACGACCTGAAAAGGGGTTGTAGCAAGGGAGGGTCGGTCTCTTCTCCCAAGTAACAAGCGATAGGACAAGGGGCAATGGCCTCAAGTTGTGCCAGAGGAGGTTCAGACTGGATATTGGGAAACATTTCTTCACCAAAAGGGTCGTCAAGCACTGGAAGAGGCTGCCTGAGGAAGTGGTTTTGTCACCATCCCGGGACGTTTTTGTAAGATGTGTAGATGTGGCACTTGGGATGTGTTTTAGGGGTGGATGTGGCAGAACTGGGTTAAAGGTTGAACTCAATGATCTTAAAGGTCTTTTCCAACCTAAATGATTGTATTATTCCTGTTGTCCTCTGCTGCCTGTTTTTTTTCTCTTTTTGTTTTTCTTTTTCAGATGCTTAGCACGGTTTTTAAAGACATCTCCACATTGAAGTATATATCTCAATTGACTTGAAATAAGAAGGCTGAGAAGCTTAAATCCAAAGACTAAGAACTAATAAGATGTTACATTGGGAAAAACTCCTGAAATCCGTTCTTGGTATGCTGTGTTGCCTATTTTTTAGTAAGTAAAATGTTCTCTTCATGGTTTTCTTTGTTTGCATAGGAGAAGAGCACTGCCCAAAGAAATGCAGAAGGATTTGTTTAAAGAAAAAGGAGCTCTCTAACTACTCCTATAATAGTGTGAATGATTTAATGCAGAGTGGAATTACCTGGTGAAAGGTAAATGCATTGGAAATCACTGCCTGAAAGCTCAGTTCCCATGAAAATACACGTGAATAATACCCCTAGAAACAAAAAGAAAACAGAAACTGGCTTTCCATCAATATAAAAATGGTAGCTGATTACACAGACAGCATTTAGAGCTGTGTTACCAGCAAATCCCATACCATTTTCCCTCTTGCCTGCTGCTTATCTGCAAGGCTGGGCTCTCAGCTCTGCACAGTCACTGCCTTCATCCAGAGTCTCAAACAATGGGAAAGCAATGACAAATTCAGCCACTTACTGCAGCTGCCAGAGTGACAGCAGCAGAAGGAAAAGACAAAGCAAAGCAAAAAAAAAAGCTGGTGCTAACAACAATGACATCTAACAGCTATCTGACATAGTCTAGAGCCCGTGCTCTGCTGCTCTGCCTGCCAGAGTACTGATGGTAAGCTGGCACCCAGATGCTACAGTGATGGGCAATAAATAAATAACATTGTTTAGTTCACAATGAAGATGAGTCAGGACACTCAAGAGACAGGGCATGATTCACATTCAGCCTTCAGAACTCCATCAGATGTAAGTTATTTTGCTTGCCCTCAGGAATGCAGCAACTGGGACTGGGAAGCACATAGTTATTACTGTGTTACTGCTGTGCTTGGCTACTATATGTTAGTTTACAACTGTTCCATGTTCAAGGAAGTTGTTCCTTTTTCCTCAGGTGTCTGTGAGAAGCTGCCTGGTGGAATGAATCCTTCCAACCAAGCCATGGAAGTGAACAACACAAGGCAAAGCAAACGACCTGCAGTCTGGCTTGGCCTCTACTTCAAGTGCCTTTCTGGGGAAATATCACCATGGTTTTTCTCAGTCCAGAACCTCATATTTGAACTCCTTTTACATAATTTTGTGCCTTTTTTTTTTTCCTTCCTAGAGGGAGACAGAATGTCAAGGTCCCGAGCTACGCTTGTTCTTTTCATTGCAAGAGAGGTGCAAGGAAAAAGTGGAGCTCAGTTTGAAGTTACCATTTCTTTTTAATTGATCTGCATTTCTTCATGGCCATGAAAGAGCTCCATTCACTGCTGTGTCCTGTTCTTGCTGGCTGTGGATGGAGCTTGCTGCTCTTGCACTTTTCCTCTGTTGTTCAAGTCAACTCTAAACTTTTCAGCACATGAGAGCACAGAGATAACAAACCCCCAAATGTTATGTGAGAATGTCACAACTTGGGAAACAGAGGCATGGATTTAAAAATTACTTGCATGGCAGAAAAATTAAACAACTGTTACTCTGAGAGGCAGCTAGAAAAGAGTTTCTCTGTACAGTGTCTTTGTTCCTTTTCCTTACCTGGGAGGATTTGAAGGCAAGATTCTATAGGTAAAAGAACATTTTTACATGGCCATACTGCATTGTTTAAAAGCTCTTATTTTCCTGCTTTTATTACAGCTTGACAATTGTGATTAGAAGCAAATGTCTAATTTGAGAAGGCCAGTTCATGAATGCAGTTGCTGTCTGGTACAGGCTTCTGTTCTGTGCAAACCTTCCCAACCATAAACATCCAGTCTTGTGCAGCATGGGATCCAGATGGATGTTTTTTGCTGAGTCTGGGATTTTGTAATAAACGCTTTTACTCTAAAAAAAATAGTTAAAAAAAAATCCCACACACAGTTAATTAAAAAATTTAAAAATTGCTTTTGAATTTCATATATATTTAGCACATGTCCTAAAGGTGGAGATGCTGAATTTTCCTGCTAAATTTTAACTTCATTTTAACCTTTTCCATTCCTTGGTTTTATTTGTCCCTTGAATATGGGTTTTGACTATGCTGTCTGCCTAATTTTTTTCAGCTGAATTTTGTGCCATGTTTCCTAATGAAAAGAGCCTCCTCCTGCTTCACTACTTGCATTTGTGCATTACAACACAACAGTGCAGGAGGATTATGTCTATCAACCAAAATTAAAACATATTTAAAGGACAGATTTCTCCAGTGCTCTGTAGACTCCTGGAATAAATCTTGTGATACAGCATAGAGGAGACAAATGTAGCATACTTTTGAGTAAACTTTAGATAGAAGATTTTTTTAATGTCTACTTGGGATGATGGTCAGGACGGTGTGTCAGGAAAGAAGTGTAATTCCAGTTGCACACAGCTGAGTATTTAGAGGAAAAAATTGTTGTGTAATATGTACTGATGTATCCTATGCTTTGCCATCCAGTAGCCATAAATGAGTGCTGAAAGTTTCTTCTTTTTAGATGCATTTAAATTTAACCTCTCCTGTTACTCTCTTTCATCATTTTTTCTAATTTTATAAAATTTTATATCTAATTTTATATCACAGCTAAAAATATTACTCTTGCCAAGTCCCTTTCATTCCCAAGAGCTGTCCCTTGGTTCCCAATTTTGAGGATCTTGCTCTGTGGTCAGTCGCCATCATTTCCACCATCAAAGCCCTTGAAGCAAAGTTTCACTTTGGAAGGCCCAGGCAGTGAGAAGTTAATCACCTATTGCCACAGCAGTGCACAGGAACGAGCAGTTACCAAATCACCAGGTGGGTGCATGTTCAGGAACGCCCTGGAGGCTTTAAGACAATCACAAACTGTTTCTCCAGTGTTTGTTTATTTCTCCTGTGTCTGTTCAACACGTATTTTTGAAATATTTGTTTAGTTCTTCACGGTTATTGAGTGTGCAAACGACGTGATTGGAGTCAGTTGATATTAGATTTGTTTACACTGTGTCCCTTGTTCCTTTTTGGAATTCTGCAAGAATAATGCACACTTCCTTAACTGTCTGTTGGCACTACTTACTGAGATCTGCACAGGTAGGTGTCCTGGTCAAAAGATACATTCTGTGCTGGTTGGCTGATCCAGCCAACTGACCTGTGTAAATAAAGGTCTTTTCTCCAAAAAACCAACCATGCTCATTTCTCAGTCAAGATTTGGAGTAAGTGGTCAGTACAGACCTTCGATTTCCATGCATGTTGATTTTTTAGGAATGTATGAGAAACCCCTTGGTTTGATAATAGCGACTAGTGAGCGGCTTCCTAATTTAAATTTATTTGGATTTCGTTTTCCATTGGTGTCTAATTGTTCAGCTACAAAGGTGGTTGGTATATCCCATATCTACAGCTTGCACTGACTTTGGACTCCATTTGCTCCTTGATAGACCACAACAGCATCCTTAGTCCTTCTGGATCCTTGATGTGTCCTAGCATTAAATTTAGGAGTTGGGGAAGGATTTTGTACATTTAGAAGTAAATGATATATGACATATGATAAATATCTTTTCTATTCTGCCTTCAAGGAAAGTGATGAACGAATGGTTGTATCTCACAGAGAATGAGAGATGTTTTGGAGAAAATGGCTGGAGAAAGGTCAAATTTGTGACTATTGTACGTTGTGAAATGTACATTGTGAAACTAATGAAAAACTTATGAAATTGGTTTCTACTGAGTAGAGGAAAAGCAGAATCTGGCCCATAGGGAGAAGCAATAAGTATGGAATATGAACAGTACAATGGCTCTATTTACACAAAGACTTAGTAAAACAAGCTGTGTTATTTTAGTTGAGTCTGCCCGATTTACAATCCAAACACAATATTAATGATACATAATTGGCATCCAATCAGTACCACTTGCGTGGAGTGTTGTTGTGCAATGTTCTGTCTCCAGAGCAGTTCCCTGTCACGGTGCATCACCAGCCAGGTCTGTGAGTGAGGGAGCCACGCTCCCAGATGTGCTCCTGGAAAATGTGGGATAATCCTTTGCTACGGTGACAAAATCGTGGTGTTCCTGACTCTGTGTGTTCTGCTCCAGAGGCTGCTGCAGCCTCTGCTCTGAGCTGGAGGCTTAGCCTGGGGTTGCTGAGAGGTCTGGGATGGTTGTGGGGCAAGGTGCTGGGTCAGTCCCTGTGATCCCCTCCTGCCTTTTGCTGTTCTGGGTCAGTCCCTGTGATCCCCTCCTGCCTTTTGCTGTGCTGTGTTCCCACCCTGAAGAGCTCCAAGGAGCCTGACTGTGGCAAATGCATCACAGTTCCGCAGGCACCTCTGGAAAAGAGCACAGAAGACCTTGCTTTGGTCAGAAGCAAGTGGGAGAAAATACGACATATTAATACAAAATGCTTCATCGTCTGACAGTAATTTTCCCCTGCATTTCTTTGTTGTTTGTTTTGCAGTTGTACTTCTTCATTTTCTTCCTCTTCTTGTCCTCTTGTAGTGCCATAATAATGGCATCCTTGAGATTACCGTGGCATTCTCTGTGATATTTTGAATTTGTTGGTATAGTTTGCTTACATGATTATGTTAAAAAACCCTCTTGTTTACTCAAGCTGATGCAAGGAACAGCCCTGACTCTGTGAAAGGTGTGCATACTGTGCTCACTAGCACTCCTGGGGGCATCATTCCTACCTTTTGTTCTGATATAACTGGTTTCCAGAGGTTGGCAGGCCTTTTAAAAGATGGAGGTTTGAAAAAAAGGGAGCTGCTTGGTGGAGATAGGCTGCAATTCTGCTCTTTATAGCTCAATAATTCAGTTTAAAATCTCTTAGAATTAGCAAGCTCAGAACTAATTAGGTCATGACTGCGATATCTTTAGGCTGCAGCTATTTGTGCTGAGTCATTATGGAGCTGCTTGTGGTCCTCCCAAGCTCTATTTTCTGTCATTTTTCTGTTAACTGAGACCAGACATACATTTCAGGTTTGTTTGGTTTATACAGATATGCTGGGGAGCCCCAGCCAGTCCTTTTGTACCACTGAGGTCTGGAGAGTTGACAGGGAGTCAACGGGAGTAACAGGTAGTTACCACAATAAATAACAAAAATAATTTGCCCTAAACCGTGTTTTTCCTCATCTCAGCCTGGGGTCTGTGGGTAAGGGAGAGGAATGAAGCCACTACTTCAAATCAGGCTGTAGACCACATTAAAGATTTCAGAGCTGCAAATGGCTCTTTTTGTTTTCCCCATTTCATCCCGAGCTGCGTTCAGCATTTCCTGCAGCTGTGTGTGTTTGGGTGGCTTTCCCTCAGCAGCAGTGCCACCAATATCAGCTGTGATTACTAGAAACAAAGTGGGTAAGTCTGCTGTGTTCAGAGACATGCCACAAAGCCATTCTGTTTTGTACAAAGCCATTCTGCTGTGTAGGCTCAGTGCCTGATTACAGACCTACCGAGAAGTTGCAGGCAACACTTGAGCAGTCTGAAGTAGTGAAAATTGTATTATAGGCTGTTTAGTTTCTAGTATTCAATGTGCATCAATCTTATTTCCATGCTGAAGGCACAGTCCCTCACATCAGCTGTGGCCACTGAGCCTGGTGGGTGTGCACTACAACACAACCTGGAAAATTCACACACAGTTGTGTATTAAAATCATTGTAATCTCTGCAGTGCTGGCTGAGTAGTACTTTAAATTAGGTACTGTTACAAATTAAGTGCCACTTTTCTATCAAAATGCTTCTTCTGTTTTACATGAAAATTCATAGAATTCTTTCCTGGATCCTTGAAATTAAAGAGGAAAATCATCATTAAAACCTTCATTCCATATTGAGATGAATTCAACTTCTTCTTCTTTCAGCTTGAAATTAATAGCAAGTCTGCTTTCTGCCTTTTCAGTGTGATGTGCTGCAGTAACATATCACAGCTTGACAGAGAGTGTGTGGACTGTTTATTCCTTTGGAGCATCACAAGCTGCTGTGTCAAAATTCTGCACTTCCACTGGTAGAACTTTTTTTCAACTGTATAAACCACAATTATAACCTGAGGAGTGACACTGAAAACTCCACTGCAGATATGTTTATTTTCATGTCCTTGCTCATTATACAACATCTTTTGGCCAGTTCAAAAGGGCAAAGGTGTTATTTTCTGAACAGCTGGTGTCGCTGCTGGGCTCAAACAACTGGACCTGGAGTTCTCTCCTGTTTATGTGTCATCAGCATCCATGATCTGTCTGAGGTGGGCTGCACATGTACTTTGTGGAGACATCAAGTGGGTCAGGTAGATTTTATGTATTTTAAATACCTGAGTAGATATACACTGAAATAAGTACAACTAACACATTACAGGACTGTAACATATATTAGAAACACTTTCAGCCTGTTGCATTTTTTGTGCAACGCCTATTTTTGAGTGAGTTCTGTATCTCCACACAAAGCAGTGCTTTGTATCTAGAGCCATATCTGAAAGCCTGTTTCCTGCTAACTTTTTGCGATTATTTAAAGATCTTTTGCTGTGTTTAACTTTGTTACTGTTAAATTTATTACTAGAGAAAGTAATTACCTGGAAAGAAACATAATTTCTGAGTCTCGAAATTAAATGTTGGTTTT